AGGAGTTATAAAATCCAGAACTGGTAGATATTCTTATTTGGTAGAAAGCAAGGATAGAATGGTACGAAAGCATGCGGTTCAACTTCGAAAAAGGGAGGTAACTAAAGAAATGGAGAATTCTGGGCCAGTGGAAGAAAATAAAGAAAATATTGAGTCAGAGAGAGAGGAAGAAAATGGAGAAAATGAAGTCAGAGAGAGAGGAAGAAAATATAAAAAATAGAGAGTCGGATATATTTGAGATTTTAGATAATGTGGAAGATAACGGAAAACTAGAAATGCGGAAATCACAAAGAGCTAGGAAACCTACAAAACAGCTGATTGAGGAGATGTAAAATCATATGTGTGGGTATATGTTATAAATTAGATATATTATATATATTATTAATGTTATAAATGTCATATACAAATCAATCATACATATATATATACCAATTGTCATGTGATAGAATACTTGATTTACATATACTTATTAAATATTGAACATAGACTAAATCAATAACACTTAACTTGTATATTTATGTAGATATAATCATGTCACCCTTATTTTTTGAAATGTTTTTGGTAATTATGTGGTATAAGTGAATGATCCATAACTGACCCAAATAAGGTGAATAGAAGACAGTTATAGGTGATTATAGCCAAACAAAATATGAATAGCACTAGATATCAGGAACAAAGCATTTCTTACCTTTCAGATTTTAAGTACCTAGGAACCAGGATAATGTCGTTAGTCATCACATTATTGGATACTAAGTCGAGACGATTCCGGATTCACTATAATAATGATGTGGTAAATAATGAGGATCCCGAGCATCGCTTGTTTAATACAAACAGCATCTACATGACAGGATTCTCACTGGATGCAAACCCCCTTCAAAAACCCTTGCCTACCCCCCTAAAAAAAATACCACCGCCTTCGGCGGCGGTGTTTCCCTATTATTATTTTTACCCTTTTAATTTATTGATACTCTTTTCAGAGAATTTATAAAGGATAACTTAAATTAATCAATCTCTACTACCAACTATCGATATTTTGTGAATATAAAGAATTTATTTTTTAGATAATAAATTCTTTTAAAACCTCCATTATTTACAATGAATTAATTATTATGGCATTATGAGCATGCTGAAATATCTAAACCTTTTAAATTACATTTAAACGGATAGCAGAAAGTTTTATTTGGAAAACAATGTGTATGATTGTTTGCAATATATAAATTTGGTCGATGAATTGTATTACTATTACAGCAATAATTTTGTCCTATTTCATCAATAATTGAAGATAAAAAGAAGGAAAAAATCAGACAAAGATAGTAAGCTCTTAGGATAATGGGTTTCAGGGATTGAGATATGTCTCCGGAGACACGCCATACAGACATAACATTATCTTCCAAGGATATACTTACCTAACATAAGAATTACTTTTTTCCATCTCTTAAATATCTAACCAGGCATCAGGTACATTATTATTAATATTGGTTACAATTCCTAACACAATCTTGCAGGTAACGGTAATAGATCCTCTCTTTCTTACTCCTCTCTTCTTTACTAAGCTAGCTGACTACTTAGTGGTGCCGTCCACTATAATAAAACGGGTATACATCATGTATAGGATCTATATACTAGTGAATATACTTGGTGCATGCTACAACTCCTGGTTAATAATGAAATTGCACTTCGTGCAATTTCTGGCTTGATAATGAATGAATGAATGAAATAAAGAAATTGTATAACTATAAAAAAAATTGAGCGGGAACGTCTAGATAAATCAAAAATTTTATAGAATCCTTGGAATACAATTTAAAAAAAAAAATCTATTCTTTATAAAATGGCCCAAATCGTATTAGCAATTCCATATAACCAGGTAAGTGTTGAACATTGTTTTTAGACACTCAATATATTTTAAAAATGGGCCCTATTATCGTTGTTGTTTTGCAAATTATATTATTGTTTAATAAATTGTTATGTGTTTGCGATAAATAACATTTACTTAAATTCGGAAACAATTAAAAATTTATGTGATACGTAGGTTATCCTATAATCCATCTGGATATTTAATATGGAAGAAGGGGGAATATGGATCCCTTCACACATTTGTGGGCAGGCCTTTACTTAACATCTGTGGAGTGATAAAAAAGGGATTGGACAAAGAACACACCCATAAATTGAATATATTTAATTATTTTATAAAGCAAGGGAAGGGTAGATATTAATTTTAAATTACTATATATCTATGTTAAATGAGTAGATTCTGTTGGTTGTAAATACTGAGCAAATAACTTTATACCATGTTGATATTAGTAGTGTGAATAAATCGAATGTAGAAGACATCTAGAAAAGTTATATATTTATATAATTAATAACTTGTTGAATCTTCCAAAATTGTTGCACCCAAATTTCGACTTGAACATCAATGTAAAATTTGAAAATATCATTACAAAAAAATATTTTAATCATTTTGAATTTTTTTTAATAACCACAATAATATGAACCATAAAGATGCCAAATTTAATAGCCTTTATTCTTATATTGCATGTAAGTAATATATTATTAATAACAACCAAAAATGGGTTAATATATAACTAAAAATTATAAATTTGATCTTATAATTACGAAAAAATAAAAAAAATTCAATCCCATTGCTTCGAAATTAACATGTCATGACTGTAATAAAATTTAAATTAAGACTAAATATCGAAAATAATCTTGAGTACGAAATTAGAGGTTTGAAAAACCTGATTCACCCTGAAACCTCTATCTACTTACCCGACTTATAAATTATGCCTGGTCACTGTAATATATTATTTTCGAGTTGGAAATTTATTTTAGGTGGGTCAGGGTTACATCTAGTTTAGAAATATTTGTTATAATTTTGAATTCAATCAGTCATATCAATATTAATGGTTTGATTGTATTTAATAATTTTGTTAATTTTAAATTATTTTTATATATGGTGAATTCCATACAAATCAACACGAGTTTCAACTCCACCCCCTCAGATTTTTCTAAAATATTTTTACTAGGCATTTATTATAATTAAGAAGAAAAAAATATTTAATTTCAAATTCCAAAACAAGTTCGTTAAATATTGTTAAAAAATTTCAAATGTCAAAAACAGGTAATGGTCATAAAATTAAATCGGCATTTTTTTTATTTAAGCTATATAATTAATAAATATACAAACTCTCAAGTTGTGCCGAGCACAGGTTTAGGAGATATGGCATTTTAATCATTAGTCAATTGTAGAAATTCCTAAATATTTGATAACTAATTATAATAAAACTCTAGACTAGGCCTAAAGCATTTAAATATTTTATGCATATAAATAAAAGATTGGGAAAAGTAAGGAGGTGACTGGATTGTTAATTTATGTAATAGATTTACTTCGTTCCTTAAATTCGCAATTATTTTTAAACAGTAATTACAACCTATTCAATTTGGATAAACATATACGTTGTTAAGGCCTGAGAAATGTAGTTCCTTGGATAATTAACCAGAATAAATCAATAACAATTTAAAAAAAATTGCACTATGTGTCGTATTACATGCTTCAAACAGTATCAGATTGAGTGGCCCCTACTACGGAGGGGGTCCGAAGCAACTGCTTCTAAAAATTTGAGTGGAGTTACTTTTTTAAAAATTTAATTCTTTTATTGTTTTACTACACCCTATATAACCAAATGATTTCTGGTTTATGATATCGAACTAGATCTCGTGATTCCGTTAATGCATTATAAATTAAATAATAAGTGGTGGGGGTGGGGGGTTATTATTATTACATTTTAAAAAATTTTTGTCGATGTTTAGCAAATTAGGTTGTTATCCGAGATTTTGTGTCATAAAATTATTTTTCCAATTTCAAAATATGCCCAAAAATATTAAAAAATACAATACAAATGCTTAATTATTAAATGCACAAGCAATAATATAAGAGATGATAGACAGACCACATAAGAAAAAGACATGGTGGGCTTAATTTTAACGATATAGAGAAGCTTTGAAATAGTAGCTTTAAAGAATATTTCTTAAAATTGGACGAATAGCAAAGTAATTTTTATTAAAAAATAATTTTTTCCATTGCTGGAAATGATTTCTTTATGTCCACAAATCTTGATAAAATACTATTTATACATGACAATTATAATTTTATCAAATCTGATTTCTTATATTTTGCTCGCATTACAAATTTATATTTTAATTTGTTTTAATAAAAATCAATAGAATACTAAATGTTACTCTGATCTGAATAAAAAACAATTCCTTATTCTATTTCTGAGAATGAGAAAATATATAAAATTAAATAAGAGTGAAACAGGAAATAATTTAAGAAATGAATTAAACTATATTAACCATGTGTTAGAACTAAGAGTGCCCAAATAAATTATAAAAAATGTTATATATTAAATGAGAAATAAGTTAATAAGTTATATAAATTTTTTAAATTAAAAGTGCGCCGCAACTGACGCCAATTTACTCGGTGGCGGTAAAATCGGCGCGCCGCCGACATAAAATTTAAAAAGACCGCCGCCGTCAATTTAGGCTTCGGCGCACCTGTCTAATTATAATATATATAAACTCTTGTAAAAATCTGAAAGATTTGGGTTTAAATAAAATCGTGTTTTTTTTATTTTTCATGGATATATTTTGATTTTCAGATCGGATTGGGTCAAATATATAGAATTAGTTTTGTTATGATTGGATCGAAACGCTTTTCTACCTAGGAGTCAGATCGATTATCAATAAAATCATGTGCTAAATATTATAACCCATAAAAAGATGTTGCCTTTTTTTTAAACTTAAAAATTTAATTATTTTTTCAATTAAAAGAACTTTTTCTTGATTAAATTCTCTCATCAGAAAACTAGAACAAACAAAAATATTTTAGCAAACTAAGAATCATAATTTTATACAAATAAATAGTATTATAAAATACCTTTATCCCTTAAGATTAACCCTGAAAACTACCATATATATTATCTCGCTTTAAAAATATCACATTTATTAAATTATTTTTTGATATCACAATTATGAGAATGAAAATATGATTAAGGTAAATCTTTTCTTTTTGATTGGTAAATATCAATTTCAAATATCCATTTTTGACATTTCTCCATTAGAATTTTGATTGATTCCTTGAATAATGTATCGGGTTCTAAACAACCAGTAGATTCGATGTTAACTATAATATTTTTTAAATTAAACAAATTTCTGTAAACCAAGATTTTACAAAAAGTTTATTAATCATTTTAAATTAGACATATAGAAAATGTTGAATCATATGCTGATACAATATTTAATATTTATTTATGTAAATATTAATACAATACTAGTGTTCAAATTTCTTTAGTTAGACAATGTCTACTATATTAAAAAAACTGAGGGCCAGGTTGCAAATCTACTTTTTTTGGCTGTTAAAATGAAATTTAACAAATAAAGGAAGTGGCATTTTAAAAGAATAGGGCTAAAATTATGAGAATTGGTGCCAACAATTTCCAAGTATCACCAATCTCGAATACATTCAAAGAAAATTTGATAAGATCATGAATATATTAATGATTATAAGGAACTAACACACGAAATGATTGCGAATTTTGCTGAGTTCGACTTTGTCTTTGAATTCGGGATATCTAAACACATTTCTGCTACATTGGTCGTATCTGGCATCTTTTACTCTGGCTATCTTATTTCCTTTAAAGTATTTTGGAAATATAATTAATCTTATAATTTATAATATTATTACGGACCTTTGGTACAGGTTAGCGATATAAAAAAATTATTTGAAGCATCTAAAAAAATATGGACAGAGAATTATATTTGAAGATGACTAAATTTTTATCGGGAGTGGTTATAAAAATTTTGGGTTATCTGACATTAATATTTTATAAGATACATTTAAAGGTAGATAAATAGGAGATGGAGTAAGTACTCAACCAAATTAAAAATGGAAGTTAACTTATGGATAACTTACTCTCGTTCCAATAAAAAAAAATAACTATGAAGTGGGGATTAAAATTAGTGATTTCGTTTTAGGAATATGATTAACTGATATTTGCAAATTAAACAATATTATACGCGTTCGCGAATAAATAGTTTATAAACATATGTAGTATTTGGATAAAATAAATGCCGTAATATTATTAATAAATATATGTAATTTTTGTAAAAAATAAATAGCGAAATATAATTAATAAATATTTATTAATAATGCTACAGTATTAATTTTATACCAAAAACTACATATGCTTAATAGTGCTATTTATTCGCGAACGCGAAAATTGTTTAATTCGCAAATAATATTTAATCACTATCCTAAAATGAAATCATTAATTTTTATCCATACTTTACAAGACCTATTTAAAAAATAAAATTTTTAATTCTCAACTCAATATGGAAAGGAATAAATTATATTTAAAACCTTTTCTATCTATAGCTAGTTCAATAACGCCTTTGGTGAAACATTGTTGAAATTTTATCGCTTGTTCATTCATTATAGACTTTTTTAATATAATATCGGGAAGATAACGGTAATGTGCTGTGCCTAGTAAATAGAAATAAACATTTTTGTCCTTTTTTTGTTAAATTAAATATATAAATATTAACAAATCGATTATAATAAATAAAAATATTTAACTAATTTTATTGTAATAATAAACATGAATTAAATTGTTGTTTTCATTATATATATTTAAAGATAAGTCATAATTTTTTAAATAATAGAATTAGCTCAGATGGCCCCTTTTCATTTATGGGAGCTAGAATGGGTGGGGGAGGAAGGGGGTAAAAAAATATTTGACTCTGAGATGTTCCGAGAGAGGTCTTTAGCAGGGAATAAGCCTATTTTCACCCCGAAACTTGGCTATTGAATTATGAATAAATTTACGTCATAGCTAGTTTTATATAAATGATATTTCTTTTTATACGGTCATACATATTACTATCTATATGTTATTTCATTTACATTTCAAATTTCAACCAATTAAGTTAGTTTACAATTTAAATAAAAATTCAAGTTGGCATTGAAATATAAAATAAAAAACATACTTGTATTTATTAATTTTTTTATTTGCAATATTTTCTAATTTTAAAAGAATATTTTGACGAAAATAAAATGATAAAAATTTATATGATCAAATAAATAAGAGAAAATATAATCAAAGTGTATATTGTTAAATATCGTTTTGGTAGTGGAAAATATATTTTAAAAAGTGGCAATTGTCTTTAGAGATCTGAAAATCTCTGCCCTTATGGACTTAGGACAGGGCCTATATTTTAAAAATAATTACGGTTCAGGCTGTCAGGCCTAATTTTAATATGATATCATTCAATTTATAAAATAAATAGATATATTTACAAAATTCTTGCAAGAAAGACCTATACTTAAACAAATTTAAGCTGGGCCAACAGATAATGGCTCGAACTTGAGGATAAAAAATATTTGTTAGAGATTGGGCAAGGCCGGACAAAAAAAATGGGTCGAGAAGGACTTGAAAAATTAGGCCCAATGCAGATCACTAATTGACATTTCTAATCTTGTTTTGATTAAACAAATATAAATAAAATAAGATAATTAAACATTTTTTGATATATTTATAAATATTTGTTAGAGATTGGGCAAGGCCGGACAAAAAAAATGGGTCGAGAAGGACTTGAAAAATTAGGCCCAATGCAGATCACTAATTGACATTTCTAATCTTGTTTTGATTAAACAAATATAAATAAAATAAGATAATTAAACATTTTTTGATATATTTATAATTAAAATATATAAATAAGATATGTTATAATCATCATTTTCAAACTAGACTAGTGATAAAGCACGTCAAACCATTTGCAATTCTGTCAAAATGTCAGATCTATCATAAGTCACCCAACCAAGTATGGGACCACCAAGTTAGCTTCAGAAAAAAACATGGCCTTTGCTGCATTTGAACAGGTCTTTCGGATTCGTGATCAACACACTCACCATAGAGGCCACAAACGATATATGAAAACATCAATTTTTTTCAAAAATAATAATAAATTACGTGTTTTATCACTAGCCTTTAAATGAAAGATGATACATGATGATAATTGCTATTTTTATACTATTTTAATTATTTGAAGAATTCATTTTAAAATATATTTTTTAAATTTTACTAATAAAAAATTTACAATATTAATATATAGGGTAAGATAGTATCTTTGTATATAAAATAAAACAATGTGTTTATATTTTTGCACATTACTTAGAAAATAAATAACGATCCGTATATAATATAACAAAACAGATGTAACTACATAAGCTAAAAAAAAATTTACATCAAATTTTATACGAATATGGTATAAATTTTAGTTTTTACATCTGTCTTGTTCTATATTATATATAGATCGTCATCAGTGTTGTGATGATTTAATGAAACATATTGACGATTAAATTAAAAATCATCCATTTAAAATTATAATCTTTGCAAAAATAATTAAAATATAGACAAAGCATTATTGAAATTTCTTTTATTATTCCTTTTGTTATTTTAATTATTTTTGCAAAGATTATAATTTCATATGAATGGGTTTTAATTAATCGTCAATATGTTTCATTAAATTATCAAAACACTGTATTTAGTATTAGGCAAAAATAAAAACACACATTGTTTCATTTTTTTAATAAAAATAATAACTTACTTTGTATAAACTATATTTTATAGGCTAAATAAAAGATTTTTTAAAATTATATAAATAATTATTTTAAATAAATAAATATTTTAAATTAAAAGCTAATATACAGTGATTCCATGTCATATCAAACAACTCACCTATTTTTATTTATATAAAAATTTGTAGAAATGTCCTATATGTTCTAGTTAGAATAAATTTTTTTAGCTAGTTAGCAATAATATTATTGGCACTAATAGAGATTTAAGGTATAAATATCCACATTTACCCTTTGTCACTGCTATATAATTATTTATTAATGAAGAACTAAATCAATTTAAATATTAAATTTTATATTTATAACACAATTGGTAATTTGTGGGAAAAAACGTCAAAAAAATATATTTTATTATAATCATTTTATATCCAGATAAAGTTTAAAACCAAGGAAATATCCCTTATATAAAACTAGATGTCTACATTAAATTTATTCCTAATATCAAAAATGCATATATTTAAAGCTATGCTATTTCTGACTCAAGCCAACCTCAAAGCTGCTTAGCAGAATTTTGATGTGAAAAATTAGCTCCTACCTCTTGGTTGAAAATAAACAAAATATTTGAAAATAATGTTAGTTAAAAAGTGTAAATTAAAAATAAATACTTACACACTGGAGAAAATTTGGCATGATCACTGCCTTTGCCTTTAAATGCAAGCATTTTTAATTGAATAACTTGACCAGGAATTAATTTCGCAATAAGAATATCAGAATTTACTGGCATAGGTTGTTTTTCAAGGGATAACGAAAAATATTGTTCAAATTGATTTTTTATTGGCAACCATTTTATAGCACTGCTAAAAACTTTAAATTTAATTTATTATTAAGTTAAATTCAATTATATAAAATATCTATACAATTTTTTTTATTAATTACCCCATTTAATACGATACAGCTACTGAACATTTTTTAATTTGCTTAAAATTTAAAAATATATTTTTAAAAAGCGATATTTTAAATAATTCTATAAAGATTTTATTATAGGTTGGCATGGCTTAGCTCAGGATTTTTAGCATAAGCAAATTGCGCAAAAATTATTTTTAGGTGTACCCAAAGTTTATAAAATGTTTAAAAACTAAGAATTAGGTAATAATGTTGCACAAAAAATAATTATAGGCCAGGCCAGATATCTTGTTATTTAAAATTATTATGGGTCATGCCAAATTGTTCAAAAAGTTCTACAGCCTGTTCAGGCCAAACCATCTATAAATGATAAAATATGAAATCTAAATAGGGCATGAATAAAATACGCTCCCCTACGCGCTTCTTATCAAAGAACTTCATTTAAATTATATTAATATAGAATCGTATTTAGCTTTATAAGATGAGTTAAAAAATGTTTTTTTTATTTAAAATAATGGCAAGTGGTAACAGTAATATTTTAAAAAATTATTTTTTAACATGACTAAACTATGTGGCCCCTATCAAAGAAGCTTAATTTATAAAAAAATGAACGCAGAATTATATATAGCTTATTAAAAGGAATCAAAAAATGTTAATATTATATTTTAAAACTTTTTATAACTTAATGGGCTTCTGAAACACATTTTTATGAATAAACTATGTGCCCTCAGTGAATATACATTATTTGGAAAAATGAATACAGAATCATGTTTAGTTTTTCAAGGAGATTCAGAAAATGGTATTATTCATTTTTTTTTAAATTATAATTATCGGAAAAAAAAAATTTTTCCTAAAATACGCGCTCTCATTAAATAGACATTATTTATGCAGAATCATGTTTAACTTATCAATGGGATCTAGTCATTTTAATTAATTTTTTCCAATCATGCTATACCTCCATCCAAACCCTCGATATATCTGTATTTAGTTTAAAAAAAATGGAATCCCAACTTAATTTAAGCACATTTTGCACATAAATGTCGCAAAGGTTAGGAGACATCTATTAACGAAATTCAAGGCTTAAGCAATATTTATTAATATATATATATAAATTGGAAAAAATAATAGCGTAATATATTTTGTTTGTAGAATATATCTTTTCAATATTTAAATATATTCGGGTCATATGACTAATTTTAAAAAAGTGGGGTCCGGGCTTGAAAAATTTAGCTCGATATAGATGACTAGTTTATAGTTTAATTAAACTTGTATAATGAGAAAATATTTTAAAGAATAATTTATCAACTAAACAAGAATGATATTTAGCGATTCAAGATGATTTAGAAAATGTTATATATATTCTCTTAATTTACACGATTCATTTTCTTATGATATAAACAAGTTATAAAAATTATAATACTTCAATAATAAATCTTAATTAAATAAAATATAACTCGATAATATTCAATCCGCAAGTTGACGTTTATCGTTTTTAAATACCTATTTATAAAAATATTCTAAATTTTTTCTCATTCTAAATTATAAACTATGTAAATACTTTTATATCTAGATATAAAAGTCAAATATAAAATAAGATTTTAATAAAACAGATATATAATGTTCAGTATTATATCATTACCAGTAAAAAAATAGGTAGGTTGAATAAATGTTTTTTATTGTTTCCGAACTATTTATAAATATATCATTCTGATGAATAACATATTTTATCAATTTGTATAAAGAGCTTATTATAATACTTTTAAATGTATTAGGATCAAATAATAATAAAAATTAAAGGTTGAATCGATACTTATCGGTAAATAAATTTATATTATATTTAACTTTTATAATGAATTAGAAAATATTATAATTATTTTTTTTATCATCTTCCATATAAAATACACAATTTTCTTAAAACTTTAAAACATTACAGATACTTTAAAAAAAAATTTTGAATGAATATATAAAATCTTAATCTTTGGATAATAAATAGTGATTTTGTTCCATAGTTCTATTAGGAATAACTTTCTTAAAATTTTAAAATAACTATAAATTCTTAAATTAATACTTAAAGTATATTTAAAAATCGTCAATTAAAACTACATATAATTTCATTATATATGTTTTATGATGTTTTGTAGAATAAAGTGTTTTTTCAAAAGCCAAATAAGTTATAAATAATTTATAAATTTAATATTAACGTTTTTTGATTCCTTTTAATTAGTTTAATATGATTATGCTTTAATTTTTTATGAATTAAGCTTCTTTTCTAGGGGGGCACGTAATTAGGTCAACAAATTTTTTTTTTAAATATAATACCATTTTCTGAATTTCTTTGAAAAGCTAAATATGATTCTGCATTCATTTTTTTCAAAAATAAAGTATATTTACTGAGGCGTGTAGTTTAGTCAAAAAAAATGTGTTTTTCCAAAAGCCCACTAAGTTATAAAAAGTTTAAAAATATAATATTAACATTTTTTGATTCCTTTTAATAAGTTATATATGATTCTGCATTCATTTTTTTTAAATTAAGCTTCTTTGATAGGGGGCACATAGTTTAGTCATGTAAAAAAATTATTTTTTTAAAATTTAACTGTTACCATTTTTATTAACTCATCTTATAAAGCTAAATATGATTCTATATTAATATAATTTAAATTAAGCTTCTTTGATAGGGGTTGCATAGTTTTTGGTGGAAAGTATCTTAGTCATTCCCTAAGAATATGTTAAATATTTTCAAAAAAATATTTTTATACTTGTTCATAAAAATTATCAATGTCATTAGATGCAACCATGTAATAAATAAAAATGGACCTAAATTATAAATAATGCTAAAAATTAAAAAGAACCTATTAACTATTATTCACTTAAAATTTTGAAAAAATTAAAATTTAACATGGATTTAGGGTATGGCCTACAGGTGCCCAATATAAGTATACCGTAAATTTTAATTTTTTCAAATAAACCAAAGCTAAGTTTAAATTTTTTTTAAAAAAAATACCAGGGCCAGGCTATATATTTAAAAACAAAATATTTAAAATCACCATTATTATCTATCAGAGTTGTTAAAGTATCTAGATAACTAGATATAAAAATGTGGTATCTGTATCTAGATAAATTTTTGATTAAAGTATCTGTATCTAGATATTATTTTAGAGGTATCTGTATCTGTTTTTAGATTCTTTTTAAGATACATTTTGATATATTTTTATTTAACGCTTTTTTATATTATAAATAAAAATACTTAAAATTTATTTTATTTCATATGAGCATATAAATTAATATTAATATATATATTAAAAAATTATATATATATGTAAAATATTAAAACTTATATATAAAAAAGAATATAAATATTAATTAAATATTATGTCCGAGTTATCAATAACAAGCAAATTTTGATATTACAATCCATCTCAAGGAATTTGCCATTTTTAATTGCAATGGAATTGGTATTCTATTTTATTCTATTATATTAATTTTTAAGATTAATATTGATGACAAAAATAACGACATTCCATGGCCAATTTCTAGACCATATTTTAAAATATATCTCAAAATAAAGAAAACAAATCTGTTAGTAAAATGTTTGCCATGTCCAAAAAATATGAAAATTTAAGTTAGCATTACCTCAACTTGCAACATTGTAAAACATTTAAGGGTATAGATACTAAATAAATGTTTACATTTTAAATTTTAAGAGAAAATATCAAACACTCTTAATCCAAATAAAAAAGGGGAAGGAGAAAAAATTTATTAAAGAAAATATTGGACTAGGCTCATTGTCCATTGAATTTTTTTTCAAGAGACCTCAGACTTTAACCCAAACCATTTTAGATGATTTAATATCTGATTTTATTATAGATAGCATTCAGCCATTTTCAATTGTTGCAAATTCATCATTTATAAAAATGATCAAAACATTAGCTCCACAAAAAAATATAATTTGCAGACAGACAGTGGTTGCTAGAATTTCCCAAAGATGGGAGAATGAAAAGAAAGAAATCATTAAAAGTCTAATAGAACCATTGTTAATATGCACAACAGCAGATTGTTGGAGTGCCTATCGCCGGTAAACAAATTGAAAAATTTTAAACAAATGAACCTGAAATTTTGTTTACTATTCTTAAATGCCTTACTTAAAAAAATTGAAGAGAGGTAAATTAATAATAAATTAATCAGTATTTAATAATTTTAGGTTCATTGGGACAATTTTTGAAGATGAAAATATTTTGGCAACTATGCTTCATCCTTTTTTTAAACTAGATTGGACATGGTTGCAAATGGATGAAAATTTTAATAAAAAGAAACAATTAATACAAAGATTAGTTAAGGAATTATAAAAGTTTTCAAATGAGTGCAAATTAACCTGTGAAAAAAAACCAATAATTTAATATCCGATTTTTTTCAGTATCCCACAGCAGGAGATATGATTGTTAATGATTTAAATTCTGATAATCAACAAATTTTAAATAGTTTTTTCACAAATGAATGCCGAGATTTTAGTATTTTTAAACAATATCCTGATATAAAAATGTTATTCATTAAATATAACACCATGTTGAAAGACTTTTTAGTATAGCTAAAAATGTCTTTACAGATAAACGAGGATGTATTAAACCAAAATTTTGAAATTTTATTACTGAAATCTAATAATTATTCATAATTAGTGCTGTAAACGTTACCTCAAAAAAGAAACGCGTTACCGTTACTCGTTACATTGGAAAAAAGAACGCGTTACCCTTACTCGTTGCCTTTTTAAAAAAGGAACGCGCGTTACTCATAAGATGACATTTTTTTGTAATAATTTTTTATTTATTTTTAGCAATAATTGATTTTCAAAATTTTCATCAGACAAACAAGAGCACTTAGTGCTCAACACAGCCTCCGCCGTGCTAAACACACGTTCAATTGGAGCAGAGGATGGGAGGGTGGTATTATATTTAATAAATATAAATTTTAACTCGGGGAATTTATTAAAAATATTTAAAGAAGTATCTTTGTTTTGAAAAAAATTTAATAAAACATCTTCACAAGGATTTTCATTAATTTCCTCATCAAAAAAAAATTTATCTTTATCAGAAAATATTTTGGTATTTGTTTTGGATAAGGGAATCAGGTCTGCTCTTTCTCTATCAAGATCTTTTCTCAAAATGGAAATAAGATCTTGCATTCTTTGTTTATTCATCTCTGATTTTATCCAGGGCAAATCTAATTTAAAGAGTGGGTGAATCATTGCTGATAGTATATAGGGTTAAATTTTCTTCATCAGAAGAATCAACTATTATAGAGTTTGGCATATATTCTTAAAATAAATTATAATATAGAATAATAATATTAATATATACTTTGAATTTTGATTGAATATTAGTTAGATTAAAATTTGATTGAAAATAACGAGCGAAAATTTAAATAAGAATGAAAGGAATGGTGGTTGATATGAATTAAAAACTCGGTTTAAAATAAAAATAATTTTATAGCACAATAAAATATGTTTTCTTTATTAATATTTTTTTAAGAAAAAATTTAAAGTAACGAGTAACGTTTTGCGTTACCATTACCCAAAAAAAAGAAACGCGTTACCATTACTTCTAAAAAAAGGTAACGTATGACGTTCCTTTTCTTCAAAAAAAGGTAACGACGTTAGTAACGTCAATACTTTTATGCCGTTACCCTACAGCACTATTTATAATCATTTAATCATATATTATATTATTTTATTAATAATATATAATAATTATTTATATTAATCATATATCATATTAATATCTAAAAATCATTATTTTAGTTATATTTTGATAAATGTGATATTGAGTCAATATATTTTTTAGATCATTTCATGAATTTTCATAGAATCCTAATTTAGGTTTATTCAAACCTTATCTAAGAGTATAATAAAAATGTATCTGTACCTAGATACATTTTAAATTGATTCTGTATCTAGATAACTTTTTAGAAGCTGTATCTGTATCTAGATAAATTTTTAGATTATGTATATGTATCTAGATCCATTTAAAAAGTATCCTTTAACAACTCTATTATCTACAATATATTTTTTAAAAATCTAGCCTGAAAATATAAAACCTGGGCCTTCTGGAAATTTTTTTTCTAATGCAAGCCAGGCTGTAAAAATGGTACCTCTGCAGGTCTCTGTTATAAATTTATTATAACTACATACCTTTATTATTTATATATAAAGCATCAGGGTCATTTGAATTTGGTGGAGCATTTGCATTTTTTGAACATTTAATATTTAATTCAAATTCAAGTGTGTCATTTGGATTCAAACTAAGTTCTTCTCCTAGATTAAAGTTTAATAAATTAATATAATATTTAATTACCAAGAGGTTTAAAGTTAAACAAATGTGGATTCACTTTTAATGGTATAAGACCTAAGCGGTGGCATAAAACCTCATCGGGGATTATTGAAGTGTTGTTATACAACATGACTTTATCTATTGCCATAATAGGAACCTTAAATAAATATAAGTAATATTTTTAAAAATAATCATACCTCAGATATTAAAATGCGGCGAATGGCGTTAACCAATGAGGCATCACATCCAATAATATCAAATTCCATTTCAGTTTTCAAAACATGATATATTTTGATTTTCAATTTCTATAAATTAATTATTTAAATTTTATATTTTAAAATATACTTTTTTAAATTCATTAATATCCCAGTATTGATCATCTTCCTCGCCTTGTGCCTATAATTAAAATAAATAGTTATTTATTGTAAGTTTTTCAAATACAAAAGATATTCCTTCTTCTAAAAGTTTGATGCGTGAATGATCCATAATTACTTTTCAAATTTTTGCTAAGCCGTGACTGTCTTCAGAAACGCAATCGTTTCATACACTCTTTTAAATATATATTAACATAACACTCATTACTATATCTCATACACTCTTTTAAATATATATTAACATAACACTCATTACTATATCTCATGTTTTACATATAAGTAAAAGCTTTATGTGGAGTAATAATTTTGATAATTATATTTTGAACAAAAAGTTAATATTAATAGATCGAATTCATAAGCTTTTATATTATTAAATTTAAAAATCATTTCTTTTATTTTATTTCCTGTTATCAAATCATAAGTTAAATTTGCTGACAAAGTTTAATGGAGGAAACGGGAAAGCCCCAAAGTAGACTAAAATATAATTATTTTATTTTGATGGTTTCTCTTTAATCATTTTTTGTATTATGAACAAGTCTAAACATTTTTATGGAGTGTGCCTCTTTCCATATTCTTAAGCTCCTGGCAGATAAATAACAAAATTTTCTTGACTAGTTCTTATTCTTTGATTATGAAAATCTTTTTCCCATTTAATAACCTTATTTTTAGAAAATTTTAAAGACAATCATCTAATTTAGATAGTGTATCATAATCACTAACATAAAATCTTCATCACTATTAATTACATTGTCATAATCACTTCTAATAAAATGATATTACATCTTAAATAATTTTATATTCAATTTTAAACATGGTGTATAATTTATATACTACAAAATTAACAATAATATTTTGAAATTTTAATTGAGTGGCTTAGCCAGGATTTTCTCACCCAAATCTCCCATTTTTTTGCTAATATCTTAGGGTATGTTAAATTTATTTTAAATATTTGCATATAAGATATAACTTTTAGAGAGTACTTCATTATAGATTTTATTTATTATATTAAAATACTATAGTAGCATAAATTTCCTTTATTTAATCATGTATTTATTTTTATTATTTAAAATAAATTTTAAAATCTAGATATTTTATATAGATTATAATTTTAAAAATTTTATTGTATAAAAAATTACATAAAATATAAATAATTCTTATGCAAATACTGGTATTTAAAAAAAATATGAAAATATTTTCAAAATTTATATTATAATTTTCCGATGTCCACACTACGTCATCGTGACGTCATGTCATCGCTACATCATGTAATCGATACGTATTTATTTTTATTTTTTTTATTTGTTGATTTTATTTATTTATTTTATACAAATAGATTAATGGAATTTCGAGAATTGATGGTGTATACACATACCTAACATGGATTGTGAGATTTGAAAAATCATCTTTGAATTGATATAAACAATATTCCCTCAACTTTCTAAATATGAATGAAATAAATATTGTGAATAAAAAGATTCAGGATAATATTTCACTTAATCCTTTTTTTATTTTTTAGATTACTTTCTATTTCTCAAAACCTTATCAATTCCTATAATTTAATTTTTATTATTTTTATATTATAATAATTTATATCTTCTTTCCCCCCCCCCCCTTTTTAATCTTATTTTTAAATTACCTTACAATTAATTAACCTTAATCTTAATAACATTACATTCATCATGTTATTTTTTAACTTTTAGAATATCATAATTGTCGTAAATAGCAATGTTTTTTTTTATTTTTAGTTGAAATATCATCATAAAAATCATTTTTTTTAAAAAACGATAAAAAAATATGATAACTCAAAAAAATCAAAGTTAAAATGATTGACATTTGAACTAAAAATAAAAAACATTGCAATTTACGACATGCCACCCCTTTATGGGCCAATGGCATTTTATGGGCCAATGGCATGCGTATATATAAAATATGTAATAATTACATACTAATACAAAATTTTCTATGTAATAATGTAAATCCTGTAGAATTTTGTGATATATTATGAGAATAATCTGGATGTAAGTATTGCGGGACGTTGTGGGAAACATCACGGTAGTAATAATTGATTCTCCCACAAATCCATTGCTTCATTATTTTGTAGCAGCATCTGGGACCCCGAGGTGCAAGGAGCGGTCACATCGAGAGTGGTCATCGCTCATCGTAAGATGTCCTCCGCCGGTGGGGTTGAAGAGAGACTGGATCTATCACTGGATGTTCCCATTAGTAACTTCCCTCTGTTAGCAGATGGAACCGGATGAGCGGTAGGAAGCGACAGTTGGACAGGCGTTGGGTCGCGCATTTTTCGTTTGCTACTTCCAGCGGACTCGACCACAGAGTTGTCATTTATCGGAGTTAGAAGGGCGCGATAGCCTCTATTGATAACGTTGCATTGGCTGCAGATATGGCCATCACTGTTACAGTTGTAACATCGTCGCTTCCTAGGTCCAGCGGAGGTCATTGCATTCTCTTGGGATATAGGTGACTGAATGGTCATGCCTTATTCTTTGGAATGAGCGTAACTTGAAGATAGAGGAGCCGAAATCAAGTAATTGGCTATTCGTTTGTATTATTATGATCTTTTATTGTTAATGATTATTCTCAAAAATTTTGTAACAAAAAATTAAGAAAATTTATTACACAAAAAAACTTATTTTAAAAAAAATGTAAAAGAAAAACTTTTGAGAAAAAAAAACTTTAATTAATAAAAAAAAATGCATATATATATGGTGTATATTTGTGTAAAAAAAATAACAATTTCAAAATAATTTTACCCTCGCTCCGACTTATGGGATATTGTAAACTAGATGAGGCACATACATGTTTATTCATAAAACTTTCTTATTTCCCACATGTGCCTCAAAAAACTCCATGTTATTATCACCAATATCCATTGGTGTGAGCGTCAAGTAAAACAAAACAAAAGTATTTGTAAAACACTAGCTCAATCAGGCGAATCCCCCAACCCGTATTCTTTTCTTCTCTAATTCATTCATAAACATAACGGCAATTTCAAGAAAAAACTTTAATAATAATAATTAATTTTTTTTAAAAAACTGACAACTAGCTAGACAAAAAAATCTTTTAAAAAAAATTTATCCACTAACCTTTACTAATACCATAAAAATTTTCTTATCATTAAAACTGTCATCTGGTTACAAAAACAGATTACGCACGACAAACAATTTTTAATAACATTTTAAAAAAACTTTCTATTTTTTTATAAAAATACTTATAAAAAAAAAATTCTATTGATCCAAACAAAATGCCTTATCGCCACTATTATCCATCAGATAAAAAAATTTTTTCTTTTACATGTATATACCAAACAATTTTTAACCCTTGTCTAAATTGAACAATAAATTAGACATTGACCACAAAAACATAAAAAAAAATATATTGAACTCTGACACGATATAAACCGTTTAATTAATACTTTTAAGATTCATACTAAAAAAAGAATCGAGTATATCTTCTCATAATATTTACCCCTTCTAACTTTACCCCAATTTTAAGTGATCGTGATGACGGATCACTGTAACCCCGGTTATTAACAAAATTTCACTCAATTTCGAACCTCGGTTTACTACTACCCGACCTCTTTCCCACTTCCTTCCCCGATTATCAAACAATCTGGTCCAAACCTTCTGGCCCACTGAAAATTTTACCCCTAATTTTACTCCCACTGAGGTAATAATTCTCCCTTTTGGTTTCAATAAATTTAAAGGACCCCGTGTTCGCCTACCTAAAAATAACTCTACAGGCGTAACCCCCTCTCGATTGCGAGAATTAAGGTAATATAATTAAGACATGTAAGCCTCATCCTTACGATTACCAGCCTTCCTAATCCAATTTTTAACAATTGCTACCATCCTCTCAGCTTGTCCATTCGAGCTGGGATGATATGGCGGCGTAAGAATATGCTGGGTCTGTGACTCAGCACAAAAATGTTAGAACTCCTCACTAAGGAAGGCGGGATTCCCGTCAGACACTATCGTGTCAGGAAAACCGAATCGGGCATACAATTCCCTTAATTTTTTGATAACTACTTTAGTGGTATAACCATGCACTTCTGCATATTCTATTCACTTGGAAAATAAATCTACCACTAAAAAATTGATTTTTTATCAAGGTCAAAGAAATCAATGTGGATACGTTCCCAAGGTTTCTTTGATCTAGGCCAAACTTACCCTACTTCTTTCCGGGGCATAGAGGCACAGGTATTACAAGGAACGCATTTCCTGGTAAATCCGTTCAATATCATTGCCCATACCAGGCCACCATACATATTCCCGAGCCCAAGGTTTCATCTTGTCCCGACCTTGATGTCCGGCATGCAATAAATTCATAATTTTACTCCGTAATTTATAAGGAATTACGGCCCGGTTTCCCCTCATAATACAATCATCAACAATTGACAATTCTTTTTGTATTTTTTTATAGTGATCATATTTGTTTTTCCAAGATTTTCTCCTGTTAAACTCAATTTTATCTGACTTAAATCTTTGTAGTTTACAGTATTTGTTTTCAGATCCTCCCAATTGGTAGGACCTCGACAGAGTAAGCACTAAGACCTTCTCTCTATCAATACCTATCCTATCACTTATTTCAGGATCTGCACAGCCAGAACCTAACCTAGACAAAATATCAGGCAAATGATTCTTCTTGCCTCGACGATATCTAATCTCTACGTTAAAACTGCCCACTAATAATAACCAACGCTGCAACCGGGAAGATAACATTAACTCCCTATTATCCTTTCGGAATAAGTGGGTTAACGGTTTGTGGTCGGTAAAAATTACAAATTTTTTACCAATCAAATATTCACGGCATTTTGTCAAAACGAAAATAACGGCCAAGGCCTCCTGTTCAATCACAGAATATCTCGTTTCTACATCCCGAAAAACTCGCGAGAAAAACAGGATGTGTCTTTCCACACCATCAATTAAATGTAATAAGGCTTCTCCAACACCTTTGTTTATTGCATCAACAGCTAATATGATTTCTAAATCATTGTTGAAACATACTAAAATTGGCTCTTCCCCAATCTTTCCCTTTAAAATTTCAAACACTTGTTCCAATTTCCAATCAAAATGAACACCCTTTTTTAATAACTCATACAACGGGGCAGCTACCTTCGCAAAATCCTCGATAAAACGATGGTAGTAATTTACCATACCCAAAAAGGACTGCACCTCAGCCTTACTATTGGGCTACTTCAAATTTAATATATTTTTCAAATTTTTTTTTAATGGCTTCACCTCAATCCCATTTATTTGATGGCCTAAATATTCTACCTCCGTTACGCCCAAAATACTTTTCTCCTTACTGGCTCTCAAGCCTTTATCATGAATTCTCTTAAAAACTTCCTCCAAACGTCGGTTATGCTGTTCAGGCGTCATCCCTGTAATCAGTACGTCATCCATATAATAAAATACCCCCTCTAGTCCTTGGAAAACGGACGCCATGGTACGCTGAAAAATAGGGGCGGACACGCTCAACCCAAATGGTGATCTACAAAAAGCAAATAACCCTTTAGGAGTCGTTATCGTCAATAATTTACGAATTTCCTCCCTCAAAGGTCATCGATTTAATGTTACTCTGAAATCAGCACAGAGCCTCAATTTACCATTTGATTTCTTAACCGGTACCAACGGGGTTGCCCATACACTATATTCCACTGGAACAATAATACCATCTTTAACCCATTGATCCAACTCTTCGTCAATTTCCTTTTTCCATTCAAAAGGAACTCGTCGACACGCTAGGAAAATAGGGGAAAATCCCCTCTTTAATTTTACATCCACTTGATAATCAATAAGACATCCTTACTTGTCTTCGAAATTTATTTCATATTTCTTCATTAAAAGAGATATATCTTCACGCATTTTATGTAATTCATTACTATCAATAGCAACCATTGGGTTTCCATTAATGCTAATATTGTCCTCAACCATTAATTCCGTGGAATTTACATATCTGTTAGAATTAAGGGTTGAAATTTCTTCTTTTACGGTTAAATCCGTCCCTCTTTTTCGAGCATTATTAGCAATATTTTTGTTTTTAGTCTCATTTAAGGCCGAACCATTATATTAATGGCAAAAATATTCCAATAATTATTGAAAGGACCTAACTGAACAATCCAATCCCATCCCATGATGGTCTCCACCTCTTTCTTCACTACCCATAAATCTAGGAAAAATGTGGTATCATGGAGAATTACTCCCAACTTAGTTTTTCCCAAAACTACAATTTCCGACCCGTCAAATTGCCTGACGCACATAGATTCTTTTTCAAGTATGCCCCCAGGCCAATACTTATAAAAAAATTTCCTAGACATTATTGAAATGCTAGCCCCCTATGTCGAACAACATGTCGATGTCCCTCGAGTCAACTCTTACAGTAACTCTCGGACAAAGTTGGACTAATCTCTCAGTCATTAAAATCTCATATATTTTAATTGACGGATCAATATTTATCTCATTTGAAACATCAGTTACATTAGAATTCTCATTTAAACATAAATTCAACTCGGAATTTAGCGGTTCTTTAACAATATTCATATATTTTTTTGCAATATCTCCGGGATTTTTTCCCATCTGAAAGTATTAACATCCCTTTTATCGGAATATTTAACAATACTCTTAGGATATTTCTCCCATTTAAAACTATTACAACCTTTATTATTTTTATTTTTATCATCAGGATAAAAAAAATTTCTGTTAAAAACACGGCTTTGATGAGAAATATATCTCATTTCAGCATGGCTATTTAATTTAGTACTATTACCTCCCGATCTCTTACTTACTATATGATTACACTTGCAATCATATAGTCAATTTTCAGTACAATTCATGGCTACATGTCCCGTATTGTTACATTTAAAACACAAACGGGATTTACCATAATTCGATTGTAGAACCCCAAATTTATTCGTGTTGGTACCAGAAATTTTTCTAACATTAGAATTTTCTAGTGTCGATTTCCTTATAGGAAAACCCTCACGAAAATTTTTTTCCTTGACCACACAGGTCTCTACCTTGTGGCCCCTATACCCACAGCTAGTACATTTCAAATCTTCAAAGATTTTTTTATTCCCGGAAAAACCATTTTTTCCATCGGAGATATTTTTTCCATTTGATCTCGTCTGACCTCATATTTGGCTTTTATTACCATTACTATTCGAAATAACCAATTTATTTATATCCTAATATATAATTTTAATTACTTCTTATATTTCTTTCAATTCTCGGAGGATAACTACAGATTTCTCCATAATATCCAAACGATCATCGTTATTACAATTCAACATTTCCACCATTTCTGGTCTACCGTTCTTGATTTCATTTAAAACTACATTTAAATTACTTTGCAAGACCGAATTTTTTTTCCAACAATCAACCGACACCGGAGTGTCACTTTTCCAATTACCATATACCCCTTGTCGCAACCAGAGTACATTTTCCAAACAGAAATTTTATTACAATAGATAACCCATATATTATGATCAATAATAAAATTGTCACTAATGCATTATTTACATCAAATTTATCAACCATTTGATACAAATTTTGATAAGTAATACTCGGATACTCCGAAATTTTATTAAATAAGCTAGGCTCAATATCAAAATTAAACATAAAGCCCATCTCATGATATGGAAAATTTATATTACTTTAAATCGGCCGTGGTAAATAAGTAATTTTAGAATATTTAAAAATGCGTTTTTTTTAAATATTATAAAGATTTGATGTTAAACGAACTAATCTAAAAATATTTTTTTAAACTATTTTATTAATTAAATTTCCAGCAATTTTTTTTTACTTAACATAAAAAAATATATATCCCTTATCAAATTCTTTGACAAATAATTTGAGAAATGCAAGACATACATTAAATTTATCTAAAAAACAACAATAATCTTATATAATAAACAACATATTTTTTATATATAATTTTAATTGATCATATTACAAAAAAGTATAAGAGTCGGTTATTTTAATTTTATTTGTCATGATTCTCTAATAAGTGGTTGCCCAGGGCTTCCCAGTTTCCCTTAATATGGAATTTACATGTTTTTTTTCATATTAGACTAATTGGTAAATCAGATATTTCCCGTTCATGTGATGATATTAAAAATTTAACTATCTTGGAAGCGGGAAAAAATTTTCAAAATTTTAATGGGTAGGAATGGGCTTGGAACCTCAAAATTAATATTAGCTTGCACCTGACTTGGGAATATCTTTTACAAATTATTAAGGGTTGAGCTGGGCTTGATAAACTTTTTCATAATTATAAGATCTTGGATGCTTCCTAATATTGTGAGCTTGAACCTGGCATGACATCTATCGTAAAAAATGAATAAAAATCTCATTCCCCGTCATTTTTGACGAGCTTTCAACTAGTATAAATAATACGTATTTGTACTTTGATTAAAAATAGTATTTGCATAAATTTTAAGAATATATTTAAAACTAATATAATCATATTGCAATTTTTTGATTTGAATTTATAAAGAGAGGTCTAATTTTTAATTCATAAAAGGAATAAAAATATTAAATTAAAATAATTTTATTTTTAAAAAACAGCCTCCCCCATGCCTATGCCATTGTTTAATTAATTTACTGTTTCTTAAGTTTTAAATTTTACATATTTTTTCTTTCAGCTGCTAATGTATCATTGATCTGGAATTTCAGGAAGGATTGTAAGCTTGGATTTTATATGATATATATAATTTTAAATATATTCAAAGATCAATTAGAAAATCTTGATGGAAGAAGTTATGAAAAAGGACATAGTCAATCCTCAAATAGTTCTAGATCTACATCAATATCTGATCAAACTGAACCTGTTAATGTTAGGCGAATTCTTTAATATGGAATCATTATCTGCATGATTCCAAAACAGAAACAGCTAGATATAAAATATGTATAAAAATAATGTGCAAGAATAATTAATCATAATAAAAGGTTTCATCAAAAAATTCAAAATAATAATACGGTAAAAACTATTTAAATGATGTATCCAAAACAAATGCTGATGATATTAATCATTATTTATTTAAATTTTTATTCAAGTCAAATATACCATTTAAAATTTTCGCCATACATCTACTTTTTTTAATATTAAATCTTACTTCGACTCTTTCGTATAATATTGACAATTGCATATCATCCAAATTAATACTTCAAATATTCAAAGCATGTTTAAAATCATAAGAAGCCATCTTATAGGCCCATCGTGTCAAACGATTATTAGAAATTTTAGGTAAATCGCGTTTCTCTCCAAATAATCGCTCTAATGGTTTATGATCAGTTCGAAGTAAAAATTTTCTACCATAAATAAATGAATGAATTTTTTTCAATACCAAATAAAAGTGCTCGAGCTTCTTTATCAATAGAAGCGTAGTGTTTCTCTGATTCTAATAAAGTACGTGATGCGAACGAAATAGGTTTTGTCCTTCCGTCTACTAATTGATGTAACAACACAGCCCCTAATCCTGAATCAGATGCGTCGCATTCCAAAATTATAGGCAAATGCGCGTTATAAGGAATTAACGTTTCCTCGGATGACAATAATTTCTTAACCTCATCGAAGGAATTTTGTTCATCTTTCGTCCACCGCCAAGGTGCTTTCACGCTTTTATATTTTTTTGTTAAAAATATCATAATTAAAGCAACGTCTTTCATGATCAGTTTTATGAGTAACTATATCAAATATTTCCTCCTCCACCAGGTTTCACCATCACCATATTAAGGTAGAACTAGGCATATTTGACATAAAATTAAACCTAACCCTCCTAGTAATAGTTTCACCCATCGAGAGGTAGGCTTGGCTTGTTGCCACTTAAATAGGTTTTTTTTTAATTATCTATCGATTGATACCTCTAATAACCATATATTTATATACTTAAATAAATTCAATAAGAAATAACTTAAAATATATGGGTCTGTGCTCGGGGTTCATGCCAGAGTTGATATAGTCGATTTTTGAGCCAAGTGCCAGGTCTGGGTGTTAAACAACCAACAATTAACAACATACAACACTAATATAAGTAAACGAGTTTCATAAAATTTAAGTTAACCTTCTGAGTTCACGACTCAAATTCAAAACTCGAGCCGTGAACTTGAGTTCATGACTCAAGTTTCGAACTCGAGTCGTAAAAATGAGTCGACTAATCATCAAAACTGGCGAGTTTCGAGTCGAAGACGGGAGAACTCGACTGTTTAACAACACTACTCACAGCTTATAAATTGTTTTATTTTGAAGGTATTTTTTAATAATTATAAAAAAATTGAATTCCAATTGAACTCAAGTTCCGAACTCGAGTCGTAAAAATGAGTCGACTAATCATCAAAACTGGCGAGTTTCGAGTCGAAGTCGGGAGAACTCGACTATTTGACAACACTACTCACAGCTTATAAATTGTTTTATTTTGAAGGTATTTTTTAATAATTATAAAAAAATTGAATTCCAATTTTTATAATACTATAACTTTTTTAAGTATGAATATTAACATTTATTAGGATTCTAAAACAATTGAAGGGTTAGAGGTCTACTACTTACCTCTTAAAAAACAATCAGGGGGAAATAACATTAAGATAATATTAGTCTTCAAAAAAATATGTTTATTATTAAAAATGAATGGAATATTTTTTTTATAAACACCAAAAAAACTTGGTAAATGAAGTATGCAGATGTCATATTTTAAAAATAATTATTTGGAAATTAAAAAAATTGCCAGAAACATGTATAGGAAAGTTCTTTGAAAAATTTCTATCATAAATGAATTAATAGAAATTAGGACCGCCGATACCACTTTTTGGAGGCCGATTCAATCCGATATTCCATATATTAAATTGATATCTACCGATAACCGATCCGATATCATATCTAATTTTCTATTCTGTAAAGATATCGGTTTTAATTTTTAATATACTTTTTATTAGTACAACATCTATAATTTTACTATACCATAACATATGTCATTTAAATATATTATAATGATCAGTTATAGTTTATATTCAATTCAATTGCTATTATTTATATAATAAGTAATAACATTAATCTATTTACAAACAAATATATTATGAAATTTGTAATTAATATTAAAAATTAATATTTCGAAGATTATTTCCAATTTATCAGAGATAGGTCTGCGGTGATGGGGACTGTTAATATCACTAGCATCACTAAAAACAGATCTGAAGAGATTAATGAACACTTTTTTAAACAGAATGCGAAAAAAAATAACTATATTGCAGAATGTTTATTAAATTATTACTATTAAAAAAATTAAACATAAATATATTTCGATTTTATTTATAAAAATAAATGGGTTTTTAGATATAACTTTTTTTAAATTTTGTTAAAAGCGCCATTTTATATCGGATCGGAAAATTTTATAATATTTGCCGATAACCGATTTAAAATGGGCGAAATATCGACCCGATCCGATATAAAATATCGGTACATTCCTAATAGAAATAAAATTAGATAATTTTTTAGGAACTCATTCTGGAGAAAAAAATGCCTTTGTAGGTGCCTGTAATACAAGTATAAAATTGTTTATTTAATTTATGTAAAGAAAATGATCATATAAGTTGCTATTGCTCCTAAAATATTCAAAATTTTAAATTTAATAATTCAAATAATTTTATTTATCATTTGATTGTTATTATTATTAGTATTCAAATAAAGTCTTTTTCAAAATTTTGTCATGTTTTTGTTGAATTTATCTACAAAATTAGCAATTGACATTTTTAATTTGTTATAAAATGATTGTAGTATAATTATCAAAATTTAAAGCTTTAATTGCAAGTACATAAGATTTAAATTAAATTATTATTAATGTTTATTTGTTTCTAGTGACCTGATATATAAGAACAAATAACATGGAAAGAGCAAGAAAATGTGGGTCATAGGCCAGCAAGGGAATTGTGAAAGATATGGCCCTTCCCTATTAAAAAAAATATATGACATATTGAAAAGTTTGATTTGTAACAAAATCAATTAACGTATTCATCTAATCACAGTACACCAGATTTCTCTAATTATTATAAAAATTTTAAAATACATATAAAATTATATAAATATTTGGCCAAATTTTTTATACAGTCAGATTATTGTGATTCAAAGATTATAAACCTGAGTTTATTTTAATATTTACATATAAACATTTCATCAAAAATTTATGAGAATTATTGAAAATAAATTATATATAATTTTATGTTAAAAAAAATATTTATAGCTTTTTAACTTGTTCACAACATGATTTTGCAACCTATGTAATTAAATATATATTTTGTTTTAAATTATTATAGTAACTTTTTTGAGAAATTGCATATTAATATCCTTGTTAATTTTCAGCACTTTATAATTTTTATATATTTCTTTTTGAGCTATAATAGTAAATATAGTTTTTCTTAAGTCATGAGTTGAAAGATCTGAGGAATGTAATGGAAGATCTTTAATTTTTGTCTAAAAATGCATGTAATTTTAAATGAATATTTTATAAATTACTATATTGTCTGATGAATTATTTTTGAGTTTCTGTGGAAATTTTAATGAATTTGAAAAATCTATATATGATAAGATTAATATTAATAAATTTTAAAAGCTAAAAACTTAAAGCATTATCTTGAAACCTACTATTATCATTACATGATATTATATCAAAGCTGTAATATTTAAACTTTTGATAATGCTAAATATAATAAAAATATTTTAAAAATTAAGCAGACCTTACCAATGGATTTTTATTATAGTTTTCAACACATTTTTGTTTCATCTTAAAAACTTTAATATTTTCAAGAATTTCCAATTCATCATTATGAATATCAGTATATGTCTTTGACTAATTTATAATATTTAACTTAAATTTTGATAAATGTAATTACTCCTTTTTCTATAATAGCTAATTCTGCAATATCATTATCTAAATAATATCAAGTGTTAAATTAATTAAACTAATTATTACTGGTTAAATGGGCATTGTTTCTAATAAGTGGGCTATTAATAAATCTGATATGCAGTTATTAAATCTAGGCTTATAAAATTTATTACCTGTATGATCTCTTTAATTTCTTCTCAATATCATTAACGACGAAATCTAAATTTAAATATTTTTCTAAAAGTCTTACATATTCGCCTACATTTTGATTACAATAATCAATATAATAAATAGACATATTTTTCTTAAATCGAAAGAAAGTAATGAAGTTTGTCATTAATGAAAAGTGTAATTAACCATAAAATATTAACTCATTAAATTAGTTATATTTAACATCCTTAAAAAAGCATTGAAATAAAAATGTTTCATGCATCCTAACAGCTGTTTTTCCATATTAAGCTAATATGCAATTAAGCTTAAAATATATATTAATCAGTTAAAAACCATTTAAAAAACTAATTTGACAATACTTATAAAAGGATTGAAAAATAATTTTTTCTATACCACCTGCACCTATAGCTTCAAAGTTTATAACAAGCTCACTCTCAATTGTAACTACTTACACAACACATTATCTAGGGAATAAAAATACACCACTCACATGCACTATGAATAATTAATAATTCTGATTCCATCTACAACAAAACCTTTATATAACCAACATACCAGCAAATAACCCTACTCCAATGTTTTTGTCTTAGACTCAAAGTAACAAACTTCTCAGGTATTAAACCATCTTATCATCATTAGCATGAAAGAAATCTGCCCACTCTGTCATAAACTTATTAATTTAAAAAGAGATGACCATCTATAGAAACATGGCCCCCAAGCCCTCCCTTGTTCAGGTTCTAATACATTTTGCACAAAACTAATAGAACCCCCAATTAATACCAAATACATACATGTAAATAACAAATCACTAGAATAATTTATCTTTATTAAAAAATACCAACAATAAAACACATCCCATCTAGTGTTAATTACCAGATCACTGACCATCTTACTAAATTATTTGATAATATTAACAAAAATTTGTCAAATTTAAATCATTGGAATAATCTCTTCACATTCCCTTTCAAATGCCTCTCAATCCCAAAAGATAACAAATCTATCTCACTACCTAACCTAATAAAAAACAGACTTAAAAATATGGAAAATTTAACACTATTAGAATACGCTAAAAATCCCAATAATTCTATTGAAAGTTTCAGTAATACCTGCAACAACATATCCAAAGAAATAAATGAAGGCGACATATGCGATGCACAAAAATTCATCTCTTCACAAAAAAAACTCGCCCCATCTAACGACGTGACCCTTGATAAATTAAAATCCCTTTATCCACATGCCTCTTATACTAGCTTACCAAACCTACAGCTCAATACCCCCCCCCCCATTTCATAATTACAAACCAAGATACTCGCGAAACAATATGTGTATTTAATAAATTTTTAGCAGCAGGCCCTGATGGCTATAGACCATCTTACTTCCAAACATTTCTAAAATCTCATAATTCCAATAATTTTTTAACTCACTTACCACCTTCCTTAATAATATAATTACTAAAGATATTCCCACATTAGCTCATCAAATTATATTTGGAGCTAACTTGATTGCTTTTGTAAAACCTAATAGAAGCATCCGCCCAATCGCAATTGGTTCATTTTTCAGTCGCCTGAGAGCGAAAATTATTGCAAAAAAAAATAAAATCCGATACTAATTCTCTGCTTGGCAAATACCAATTAAGATGCGGAACTAAAGAAGACCTAGATATTGCCTCTCACAGCCTACGAATCTGCCTTTAACATCCACCGATAAACTCCGTTTTATGCAAAATCGCTTTTATAAATGTCTTCAATACAATATCATGTTCCTCGGCACTCGAATCTTTTTACGATAATTTCCCCCAATACTCACGATTAGTAGACATCTGCTATAAGAATAGAACTAACATCATTTTTAATGGTAGCGTTATATATTCCGAAGAGGGAGTAAAACAGGGCGACCCCTTCGGCCCTATTCTTTTCTGCTTAGTTATACACAATATGATGAAAGATCTTAAATATGATTTTAATCTACTATGGTACCTAGATGATAGCAACCTTTGCGGTAATCCACATCAAATTAGCAAAGCCCTTAGCCACCTCGAAAAATAATGCTCTAAAATTGGTTTAGAATTAAACAAAACTGAAATATGCTTACTCAATCCAGGGGCGTCGCTAGTCTTCACAATCTCAGGGGGCTCAACTAAAAAAAATTTTATGGGGGCTTCGATGCATACAAAATAAACTGGCATATAAATAATTAAAACAATACAAAACATTTCTGAAAATAATATTTTTATATACAAAATCTATTTATTATAATATAAAATATTTATGATTGATGATATTAAAAAAATTTTCAGTGATAAAAAGGAATAATTAACTCATACATATGTCTCAATTTATAATGGTTTTTAAAAACCACATATTGCAATAATATAACTCTTAGCAACTTACATTGACAAAAGGTTATCAAACTAATATAACTCTCTGCAATGATTATATCATTGGATTTTATATATTGTTTCACCACCGTGGTATATTATATCTTAAAATAATAGTAGTTTGTAATAATATCAAAAATATACTTGTATTAAAAATTTAACTCAAAACTGTTTTTCAAAAAAGAAAAAAATAGCTTTCCTAAATATACGTAAAAAAAGAAGAAAAGATATCAAATTTATTACATCTATTGCAGGATGAATAATAAAATGTTTAATTTTTAAATCTAAACTAAATAGATGGCATTAAATACTTGAATGCAATTTGTTACTATATTTATTATCAAAACCAATTATTAGTAAAATTTATTATAATATTAACTATAATATATTATATAACTGTCAAATACGTTTATAAAAGTAGCATTATATCTAATATTTTATAAACAACTGTATATAGTAGAGGATTATAAACCATATGTCTCATAGGCGTAGCCAGAGGTGGGGGGGGGTCAGGGGAAAATTTCCCTCCCCCCTTCAGAAATTTATCACTTTTGTAAATATCATTTTTAGCTAATAAAAAATATCCCTCTTAGTCCTCCCCCAACTCCCTGACCCCTAAAAATGTATGCATATATCTTAAACAATAATTTGAAAGAAAGAATGTAAAAGATGATATTTTTTATAAAACTATTCATCATAATTTATACATTTTTGGAAAAATAAATTTATAAATATATATATAATAAACCAAAAATATTTTTTAATAAATGGAATATAAGCCAAAGATAAGTTTTAAGACAAAAGTGAAATGTATTAAAATTATAATTATTAATAATAGATTCATAAAATTACTAAATAATATAATATATCAAATATATTTTTTTATATAGTGAGTAATTTTAATTTAATTATCTTAATAAAAGTAAATATAAAAATATTGATAAAATTAAATCATAAATTAAATAAAAATATTAAAGCACAATACAAACAGTGGAATATTATATGTCTTAGATTTACAGTATATCTAATTTTATCAATTATCATATGACAATCAAGTAATTTTTACCAATAAAGCGAATTATATATTTTACAGAAAACTATAAAATATTGATAAGGACATCAGAAAATATCTTTTAAAGACATTGTGGGATGAATAATATGAAGATTAAATTTTAATATCATTTTTACTTCAACAAAATAGATGGGGTTAAAAATTAAATGCAAATTGTTGCTATATTTATTATCAAGAGCATTGATTAGTAAAATTTGTTAAATTATTAACTGTAAAATATTCTATAACTGTCAACAATGTCTGTAAAAGTGGAATTTTACCTAGTATTTTGTAACTAATTCTATATAATAGAGGAATATCATAGTGTTGTTAAACGGCTCATTTTGAGCCAATTTTTTAAAACGGCTAACTCAATATTTTAGCCAGAAAAATATTGCCTAAGTCTCGAGATTTCGTTAATATATGCCTAGACCTTTGTTCCTTCTATGAGCAAAATCTTGAGGCTTGCGTAATATTTTTCTGGACGAAATATTGAGTTAGCCGTTTTTAAAAATCGGCTCAAATCGAGCCATTTAACAACACTAGAATATCAACTATATGTCTATTTTATAAATTTCTTATAATTGTTTGGAATAAATTATTAATGTATATACAAGTAATTTATTCTATTTTATATAAATTAATAAAAATATATTTCATATTAGTTCCAGGCTTATTTTTATTTATTAAAATTTTTAAAATTATTTTATGACTATATATAGACTAGGGGAACCCGGCCGAAGGCCCGACAAAGGGGGTCTGGGAGCGAAGCCCCTAGTAATTTTTTAATTCCCCTCCCCCTTAGGAAAATTCTGGCTACGCCTATGATATGTCTACTTACTTTTTATAAAGAAATCTCTTATACTTATTTGGATCTTGAAAATATTTTTAGGATAGGTATGATAATAAAATTTAAATAAATATACAGTTGATTAGTCATTTTGAACTCGGCTAATTACAATATTAAATTTATTAATTTTCAAATAATATATGATTATATTTATTAATATATTTTTTATACAGAATTTGATTGCAAGCTGACATAGTGAAAATATAATTTATATGTATTAATCTCATTTAATTAAAATTTAAATAGTCTTAATAATTTCTAAATAAAAAAATTAAATCTATATATTACTTAATGGAATTATATAAGAAATCATTCAGTGGGCAATCAAAAAAATTTATTTTTAGTTCAAGGGGATATTAAGGAGCCATTATAAAAAAAAATTTGCTTTAAGGGGCTATTCAAATTTTTCAGGGGGCTCGAGCTCCTGCGCCCCCCCCCCTAGTGACACAACTGCCTCAACCTTGAGATTCCCTTATATTTATTTAAAGGTAACACTATTATCGAGAAAGAGGAGATCCAACTCTTGGGCTCCCCATTACTTAATAATATATCCGAAAAAATTATCGATAAAACCTTTTCTGAGATACAAAACTTGGAAATGTTCATTAACAACATTCTATCGCACCAGCTTTTTTACTTATTAAAAAAGTGTTTATAATCTTCCTAAAATCTCGCATATCTTCCACTCATCCTCCTCATTCATCTCCTCAAAATTTTTTATTTAAGACAATATTCGCCAAAGACCTTTATAGAAAGAATTCTCAACCTTTCATTATCAGGCTTTAATTGGCACCTAGCCCAATTAACCCGTTAAACTAGGTGGTATCGACTTGATCCCCTTAGAACTACTTTCCCTATCTCTATTTGTCTCAAATCGCCTATCGCTCAATTCTGCGATCTCATCATTCATAACTAACAATGATGATCTTCTAACAGCTGCAATTGAAAGATGG